AATGGGACTCTTCTAGCTGATGTTCCTTTTCTACTGACTGAATGACACTCCTGGAATTCGGAGTTTAAGGAAGAGATGGGCAATGCTGGTGGCCCTTGGTCCCAGAAGTTCAGTGTAGAATCAGGTTTTCTAACTACTCCATCCTTCGAGGGGGAAGGGCACTGGTACTCACACAGCAGAGCCAGGACGGCCCCCAGGATGGGGAGCAAGAGGAAGCCCCCCTTCCAGGGTATGGGGCAGGTCTCCACGTGGCCGTGGCAGTCGCACACGGTGGCCTTGATCACTGCCAGCTGTTGCTTGTTGCCACGGTCAGACAGAGAAAGGTGCACATCGTATGTGTCTTGCTTTAGGAACTTCTTCAGCGACAAGGCCACTGTGTCTCCTGGAGGGGACAGATAATTTATTCACCTCGGGAAACCATAAATGGAACAGAGCGTATCACAGTGGAGGTTTGAGGCAACAGCCTCTATACCTGGGTGACAAAGGAAAGTATACGAAAAGCACACTTTGATCAAGTGTTAAAAATTAGTATTTGGCCCTGGCCAGCAGAGCTCAGCTAGGTGTCATCCCGTGTACCAAAAGGTTGCTGGTTCAGTTCCTGGTCAAGTCACATGCCTGGGCTGTGGGCTCCATCTCCCATGGGGGGTGTGCAGGAGGCAGCCAGTCAATATTTCGGATGTTCACTCTCATATGGAAGTTTCTCTCTCTCTCTCTCTCTCTCTCTCTTTCTCTCTGAAAATCAATAAAATATCTTTAAAAATTTTTTTTATATATGGCCGAAGCCAAATTCACCATCATGGTAAGGATTATTGGGGCAGAAAAAAAAAACTTACATTAAAAAACACACACAATGATCACAGTATTTTTAAAATATGATGTTTCTTAAAAGTCTTGTCATGCAGAGGCAGTAATTTCTTAGCACCATTAGCTGCTAGCCCAGCGGTCGCCAACGGGTGGTCCGAGGTGGTCCGTGAGGTCCGAAAGGTTGGCGACCGCTGTAGACTGTTCTTTGCCTCAAAACAACACTGTTCTTCCTAGGACAGTGATGGCGAACCTTTTGAGAAGACTTATATTTTTAATATTTATTTTATATATTTAAATGCCATTTAACAAAGAAAAATCAACCAAAAAAAAGAGTTCGCGTGTCACCTCTGACACACGTGTCATAGGCTCGCCATCACTGTCCTAGGAGACAGCTAACCTCATGCTTTCTCTCTTTCATCATCACCTGAGGGTATTTTTAAAATTGATTTTTAGAGAGAGAGGAAGAGAGAGAGAAACATCGACATGAAAAACATCGACTGGTTGCCTCTGTATGCACCTCGATCGGGGACTGAACATACAACCTAGGTATGTGCCCTGACTTGGAATTAAACCCATAACCTTTTGGTGTACAGCAGTGGTTCTCAACCTGTGGGTCGAGACCCCTTTGGCGGTCGAACGACCCTTTCACAGGGGTTGCCTAAGACCATCCTGCATATCAGATATTTACATGATGATTCATAACAGTAGCAACATGACACTTATGAAGTAGCAACGAAAATAATTTTATGGTTGGGTCACAACATGAGGAACTGTGTTTAAAGGGCCAGAAGGTTGAGAACCACTGGTGTGCACGACGGTGCTCCAACCAACTGAGCCACCTGGCCAGGGCTAACCTCCTATTTTAATAGTCCTCTGTTAACTGGCCACTGTTTTCCTATTTGAAAGTTCACTACCATTCACTACTGCAGCATTTTGCTCTTGCAAATAGTAAATATAATGTTTACACCTCAACTGCATGATAGCATTTCAATATCCTAAGCACTGATATTGTGAGCATCAATTATTAATAAATTCAAATGCATACGACTTGGGGACATAACATGTTACATGTTGTTAAGCAGGTCAGAGAGGATGCTAACCTGTTATGACTGCACACAAGTCGGGGTTGCTGGAAATGAGGCTGCAATGGGCACTGAGCTAACCGGCCTTCAAAAGCCCAAGGTGGGTGGCGGGCTAACCACAGGCAGGAGCTGAGCTCGGTGCAGCCTGCACTGGGGGCATTATTCTGGGGAGACGGTGGGGCAATCCTAGAGTGGGGAGAGGGGCTATGTTTGCAGGTGAGAAATACAGTCAGGGGCATCTCTGAAAAAAGACCTTCCATTTAGAGGCAAGGTTCTCAGGCAGAGAGCTACTTAAGCTTGCATGGGACTGTTTTTCATCATGCAGGACTTCCCCAAGCATGGCAGATCCTCACCACTCAATGCCACAGTATTTCCCAATCCCTGGGACAGTAAGAAACAGCCCCACATTTCCGGCTCACCTGCCCTCAGGGGTGCTGGCCTATGCCAGCAGTGACCTCGAGCCATTCTCAGTTCAAGGCCTCTGTACATTCACTGGGCCCCTCTTAGTGCAAAGGCCAGAAGGGAACATTCACCCAGTGCCACCGGCAGGGCGAGTTCTGCAGGCTGAACGTCTGGTCTGCCGTGTAGAGAGGCCACAATGTGGGGTATTTCACAAACACCTCTATCACCATGCTGTTCCCAGACACCGGAGGGCCGATATTTCAGTTGGTGGTGGTGGTGCTGGTGGCCGTGGTGATTAAATTGACACGGGCTATGTACCAAATCCTACTCTAATCTTCACCATAGCTTGGAGGCAGGTACTGCTATCCCTCTTGTACAAATACAGGAACTGAAGTTTAGGGAGATCAAGTAACCAGCTCGAGGTCACACTGAGTCAAGTCTGAATTAATTCCCCTGGCGACGGGGACAAGATCAGGTCAAAAAACTAAATTAAAACCAAGAACCAGGTATCAGTACTGTTATCGGGTGCTGGTATCATTGGGCTTTGGCCATACCGTTCACACCTGACAGAGCCAGAGCTGACCTGTTGGGAAGTCACGGTGGTGAAAAGGGCCATGGGCATCTACCGAGCACTGACGTGCCAGACACAACCTTTCCATGTGATCACTCACCCTCCATCGTAACTGGAGAAGCAGGTTCAGTTACTGGCACCACTTTATAGACAGGGGAATCAAGGAACCGTGAGGCTCGGCAACTTGCCCACAATCACAAAGCTAGTAAATGAAGGAGTCAGGTCTGGGACCAAGGCCCTGTGGCTCCAGAGTCTACTCTCTCTGAAAAACATGATCAGGGAGGGAAAAATGTCTTCTAGGCCACAAGGGGGTGACAGGAGACCAATTTGGGCTCCCCGAAGGAAAGGTGCTGGATAGATATACCCAGATCACAGGAATCACAAAAATGAGCCAATGCGGGTGTCGGAAGTTCTTTCTGCACTGGGACTAGCAGCAGGAACGGACACTGGGCATCTGGTTTCACTGCAGCAGAAGGCAGAGCCTGATTGTACGAGTTCCCAGATGCCGGAGGACCGATTTCTCTTGGGGGGGGAGGTGGGGGGACTTGGCCCCAAGAGGAAGAGGAGAACGTTTTTTAAAATATACTTTTTTCTTGAATTCAGAGAGGAGGGGAGAGAGAGAGAGAGAGAGAGAGACAGAAACAACAACGAAAAGAAAGAATCATTGACCGGCTGCCTCCTGCATACCCCACAAGACTGGGGATCGAGCCCACAACCTGGGTATGTGCCCTGACTGGGAATCAGACCGTGACCTCCTGGTTCTTAGGTTAACACTCAATTGCTGAGCCATGCTGGCCAGGCAAGAAAAGATTTTTTTCTTTTAAAGAGATAAATCAGAGAGAGAGAGAAAGAGAGAGCTTTTTTTTAAAAAAAATATATTTTATTGAAGAAGATTTTAAAGGAGAGTGATGCAGACCCTGGCCAGGGTGCTCAATTGGTTGAGTTTTGTTTCATACACCAAAAAGTTGCCGGTTTGATTCGGGGTCAGGGTACATACCCAAGTTTCGGGTTTAATCCCTGATCAGGGTGCATACGGGAGGCAAACGATCAATGTTTCTCTCTCACATTGATGTTTCTCTCTCTCTCCCCTTTCCTTTTCTCTCTCCCTAAAACAATAAGTAAATAAAAACATATTTTTAAAAATACTGAAACCTTAAAAAAAAAAAAAAAAGCAAAGTGATACAATGTCTCCAGGAACCTACTGGCACTTACTGGATCTGCCTCTCTCATGCACCCGGGGTCATCACCCGTTTAATACTAGTAAAGCCCCTCTCTAGGCCTGTGGCAAATAAAATACTACTGAAGGCCGAGAAGCTACAGGGGTATCGGAAAGAGAAAGGACAGAGGCAGGTGGGAGCAGGATTGGGGGCCAGAGACTCTGGCTTCCATCTTTATTGCTCACTCACTGTGCCCATGGGCATGCTATTTAACCTCTCTGAGTCTCACTCTCATCTGTAAATATGGAGAAAAAATACTGACCACAGAGGTGGTAGGAACATTAAATAAGGGAAAAAGTAAAAGCATCTTGCACATCACCAAGGTTCAATAAACGGGAGGCAGCAGAGTATTAGGGTAAATCAGCCTGCCTGGATTCAAACCCTGGTGCCATCAATTTCTAGCCATAGAGCCTCAAGCAAGGTAAGCCCTGGTCTGTAAGCCTTGGTCTCCTCATCTGTAAAATGGGTGTGTACGTGGTAAAAGTACCTTCTTCACAGGATTGTTGTGAGGATTTAAAAACCTAATCTACGTAAAGCATCTGAAGTGGTGTTTAGCACCAAGTAAGCACGCTCAGTGCACTTTACTGTTATCATGGCGTTGGGACCCTGACCCACGTGACATAGTCACACCCCCTCTCTCTGGGCTTGTTTTTCCATTTACACAGGACGGCAGTTGGGCTAGAATGGTATTTAACACGTTAAGCGCCCAGCCTGTTTTGTCTTCTGCATGGAAAGTATAGTGTCAGTCATCAGTGACGGACTGGGCGCTTAACGTGTTAAGGCTCTTACGGAATCCCACAGGCTCCCGATAGGTAAATCATTAGCCTTGGATTGATGTTCTCGAGACCATGACCTCTGTGGCCCACAAGATACTCAGTGGGCGTGTGTGTGGGGTCCTGGTGTGAGGCAAACCCACCCAGCAGAGCTGGCACCCGCCTGCCACCATCACTCATTACCTTTCTCATTGACCTTTGCCGTCCAGTAGATGTCCGAGTCCTGTGTGAGCTGGGCCTTGAAAGGGGAGGCGTGTGGGGACAGGTCCTTGTCTGTGATGTTCAGCACCTGGGGCACAGGGCTTTGGTTGCAGATGGTGATGTGACGGGGCTCGGGGACAGGGCCGTGGTCGTTGACGTCCACCAGTGTTAGCAGGAGGGTCCCTGTGCCAGTGGCGGGAGGGCTCCCTGTGCATAATGACACGTACGCTCCTTCTCAACATCTGCCCTTGATTGGGTTGATGAATCAATGTTAAGCTCCCCTATGATCCAGTCGGCCTCAGGGAGGGTCCTGTTACTGCCTGGCTGTAGCCTCTGAAGACCCTCCATACACTAGCTTCACTATAGATCAAACCAGTGATGGCAGATACAAGGCAATGAGCCAGCATTCTCGTTTATGTGTCCACAGCAGATATTACTAACTGACCAGAGCATAGAATTGCAGCCACTTCATCCAGACAGCCACTAGCATTCTGTCACAAAGCACTACTGGCCACCTCTGGGCTAATGCAGCTTCCCTTCACAGACCTCTCACCTGCCTCCAGGCCTCCATTCACTCACTATGTGTCAAACAGAGATGACAAGCACATCACAACCCCCACCCTGCCATAGTGTGACATCACTAATCAAGCATGGCACTTCCAGGCAACCCCTTTCAATTAATCCAGGGGACACGGAGAGGCTAATTCAGGGCTTAGTGAACCACAAACTTAGGCTTCGAAATATCTCCTAACTCAGGTTTTAGGAAATCAGAACCATAGCCAGCCACCCAAGGACCAGTCTTTAAAACACTCCTCTGAAGGACCCCTTCGAACCCTCCAGATTGGAATGCTAACACCCCCCTACACACACACACACACACACACACACACACACACACACACACACCCCTACTCCCCCTATGGAGGGGACATGCTGTGTTATGTGACCTGGGAACCAAAAGTGCCCATGAGGAGGGGCTGGGAGGAAGCTCTCACCATCGTCCGTGGCCAAGACTATGACTTCATAGATGTTGTTCCTCACAAACCGCTCATCCTCGCGGTCCAGGACTCCCGCGGCAGTGACCTGCCCACTGTCCGGGTCCATCGCCAGCCACCCTGCTGGGTCTCTCAGGATGTGGTAGCTGGAGTGGAAACATTGAGAAGAGTCACACACAGAATACTCAGAATTCTGGCTTCCACACTGGCCATGATAAACAACCATCCAGAAGGTTCAAAATACTTAACAATCTTTAGGGCAATGACAACAAGTACTGATCATAATAAGTAACTGTCCAAAAGGTTCAAAAGATTTCACAATCTTTACAGTAATAAGAATACTGGCCGTAATAAACAACCGTCCAGAAGGTTCAAAATATTTCACATTTTTTAAAATATATTTTTTCATTGATTTCAGAGAGGAAAGAAGAGGGAGAGAGAAAACCATCAATGATGAGAGAGAATCATTGATTGGCTGCCTCCTGTACGCCCCACACTGGGGATCAAGCCCAAAACCCGGGCATGGGCCCTGACCAGGAATAGAATCATGGCCTCCTGGTTCAGACGATCATGCTCAACCACTGAGCCACGACCGTCGGGCAAAATATTTCACAATCTTTACGGCAATGAGAACAAATACTGGCCATAATAAACAACCATCCAGAAGGTTTAAAACATTCCACAACCTTTACGGCGATGAGAACAAACACTGGCCATAATGCACAACGCCCAGTGCATTGGTCCAGTGCACCTGGAGGCATCCAGCTCCTGCATACCTGACCCTCTGGCTCCCCCTGTCCGGGTCCTGCGCAGTGTAGGTGCAGACCGGCTCCCCAGCAGCGATGTCCTCCAGGACCTCAACGACATTGGAGGGCGGGACGAACACGGGGGCCTCATTCACATCCTCCACGTGGACCACCACGGTGGCCGTGGAGGTCGGGAGCTTCACTACGAAGGGAGCCTCGTTGGTCACTTCAATGTACAGCGTGTGCTGGTTTTGGGCCTCAAAATCCAAGCCCTGAGAGGGAAGAAGGAGGATGTGAGCTGCCATTTTATGAGGAGGCACCATGCAGAGATGGGGTGTCAGAAGGAAGGGCCCACCACGCTGCCCCTTCCCTACCTATAAAGCCACCTGCATTTCCTGAGTGGCATCTAGAGGGGCCTCTCAGACTACCCCACCGCCCCAAAGGCAACTGGACTGGTGAGCCCCAGAACTGGTTCCCAATGGGGTGGTGCCGCCCGCTAGTAGGCACTGTAGACACTTGTGAAGGCATTTCTCTCTGTCATAACAACTGGGGGTACCACTGGCATTTACAGGCTGAGGCAGGGACGCAAAGAACTGTCCCATATCCATGTGACTAGACAACATTCCGCTGGACATTTGTGTATTCACGGGTGTGAAAAATCTGTTTACAATTGCAATCTAGAACATGTTTTACGTAAAAAACTCTTTTTGGTGTGGTTTTAATATAGACTGAATTTTCTAGGAATGGAACTTCTGAGGGGGAATTGTAATTTGATTTGTTCAGGCCTTCCCCAAGAGTTGTTTATTTGCTGTTCTGGGGAAAAACATTAATACCACTTGTGTTGTGAGCCGCCTGAATGAGCCAGTATTCACTACATTAGAATGATTCTACAGAGATACAAAAGAAATCAAAGAAAGATCAGTCCCATCTTCCTGAAGTATTCATTTTATTTACGTAGAAGATACCTAACTACTAAGTAATTCAGAATACCTTACTATCCAATCACCTAGATATGGATTAAGTACAAAATTAGCAAGAATTCCACTAAGACAGAGAGACCTTCTGTGTGTGGACTGACTGAGGCCAGCCAATGAACACTGGGAACTGAGCGGAGGGGCTCCACTGACCTGCTTTGATGCGATTTGGGTCCCTGGTTAAGATTTAGTATGAAGGAAGGAATTTCGCCACAGGAAAGGGATGGGGAAGTGCTGGAGGCCACTGGCCCGGTGCGCGCTCTGATGAACTACTGGTCCAAGGCACATGTCCCCAGGCAGGGATTACCTGCCTCCTTGTCCTGGAGGCTGCAGACCTGACTGTCCCAGATGTGGCCCTTGTCTAAAGCCCAAATGGACTCACCTTCTTGGTTGTCAGGATACCCTGGTTGCTCTCGGGATGGGTGGTGATGGTAAAATGGTCCCCACTGTCACCTTCCAAGATGCGGTAGGTGGCACGCCATGCCGGTGAATTGGGGGCGTCCAGATCAGTCACGGTCAGCCTCTGTACCTCACGGCCCACCGCGTTCTCGGGCACATGGGCCTCATACTGTGAGTGGGAAGCAGAGTAGTCAGAGCAGAGACCAACACTCAGAGAGACTGTTCTATTCTTCTCCCGCTGCAAATCCTCCATCCAACTCTAGGGTGCCTCATGCCTCTTGGCCTTTCTGGGACCACCCGACTCAGTCACCAGGATTTCTGGGCACAACAGAGAGGCAGCATGCCCTGAGCACCGGCCTCCCAGCTGCTGGGACAGACCACAGCCATCCGGGCCTGCTTTCCCTATATCCAGGGGCCTGATACTCCAGGAATCTCACGGGTCTGGGTGCCCAACCCCCTCCAAGTGTGACCACCTATGTAGCTGAGATCGGGAAGGCATAAGTGCTCTGGGGCAGGGACCGGGATTTTTTTTGTAAGTTCTAGAACAGATGACGACGACTAGGAAGTCAACTGCTTGGAACAAATTTTAATCAGCCTTAAGTAATGCTCTGCAGCCAAAGCTGCCTCAAGACAGAAGGGAGTTAGGTATCGTCTCAACTGGCCCCGAGTTCTGTCACTGGAATGTACAAGCATTCACTGGGTGGGCGGGTAAATCAGAAGTTTTTTTTTATCATTGAAGATTTTCATATGGACTTATACACCAGGGGTGGTGTTACACAGATGATTTCATTTAAAACTCAGAACAATGCAGCAGGTGATATCATGATCCCCGTTTCTCAGATGAGGAAATGCAGCACAGAGAGGTTAGGGAATTTGCCTGAGGTCACACTGCTTGTCGGTGGTGGGGCTAGAATTGAAGCAACGTAAGCTGGTTCTGGAGTTTCATTAGAAAGGAAACCCCTCGTCCCTCATTGCTGATTCAGGAAGAGGGAAGGAAGGAAGGGGCGTTACCTTTTGGGGATCAAACACGGGAGCGTTGTCATTGGTGTCGAGGACTTCCACGATGGCCACTGCCGTGGTGGTGGAGCCTTCCCCGTCCAGGTCGGTAGCATGGACGGTCAGTGTGTACTCAGGGACTTTCTGGGGAGGAGAGGAGAGTGGAGGCCACTGAGAGTGCATGTCATAATTTCAAGAGTTTCACCAAAAGGTCCCCCATTCTGACAATGGACTCTGTACCAAACCCTGACCCTTTGAAGTGTATGTCTCCACCTTGCCTCAGGACAAGTTGTGTTAATAAAAATCATGGGGTCCTGGGGACGGAGAGAACCTAAGACCTTAGACTTAAGATCTTAGAACTTAGCTCCTTTAGCTAAGCTCCTCTGACCCCCAATTGCCTTTCAAAATTATATCTTGTCTCCAGACTCTTTATTAGTCTCTGGACTCCTATGTCATCTACGCACAGCCCCTTCTCCAGATTCCCGAACCCTTCTTAATGCTGGGACAAGATCCCCGGCAAGTGCAGCCTTTGGAGAATGCGGAGGGTGGCAAAATGTTTCTCCCTCTGACCGTGTTCTATTGACTCCTCAACCCACCTCCCGAAAGAACAGAAGCGAAGGGTGGAAGAGGAGGGACTGCCCATACAAACAGCATCCCTGGGCCTGTCGGGGGCTGAAGCCTGAGCACTGCCCCCTGACCCTGGGCAGATGCAGAATGAGAGCTGTGAGCAGGGATGTGGTCAAAGGAATTAATTAGGAAACAGGAGGCAACTCCAGTATCCAAGGAGCTAATTCTACTTTGTGGTCCACGGGGGACAAATCTGGGCCATGTGCATGCTAAGTGAGCCGTTCCGAGAGGAAATGAGAAAATCTACAGAAAATATCAAATGTCTGCATTTTATAGCTGCCTCCTCAGCCTCAACAAGATGGTTTGGCGGCATGCCATTGGCCCAATGAGCTGGGGGACGCCAGCATAGGAACGGAGCAGCAACCACTGCCAGCTGACGTGGGTCCCCACTGTTCCACCGTGGGCTTCGGGAGCAGGGCCAGAGGTTTCTGCTCTGAGTGTCAGGCCCTGGCCTGGACAAACCTGGGTAGGCACCACTTTTCCTAAGGGCCACTCACCTCCCGGTCCAGGCCACTGGAGATGACGCTGATGGTGCCTGTGCTCCGGTGGATGGTGAACATGTTAGGAGGGTCCTTTGGCTCTTGGCTGTGAATGGAGTAAGCAACCACCCCATTGTAGGTGTTGATGGCATCGTCCTCATCTGTGGCTGTCACCTGCATCACAGATGTACCTGGAGGGGAGAAAGGACGAGTGAGCCCCCTTCCTGCTCAGTGGCTTAGACCCATATTCCACTTTGTGACAGAGATCGCTAATTGGTGCCCATTTTCCATTCTCCCTTTCTCCTCCCTCCCTTCTTTCTTAGAGACATAATCCTCCACAATCACTTGAGGCTGGGCACAGGCTTACCTGGAGCAAAGACTATTTCCCATCCCTTCCTCAGCTGGCTGTGACCACAACTCTAAATTCTGACAAACAGCATTTACAACTTTGGGGGACGTGTTTTACCGCGTATGGGTTTATTCTTCCCACCCTCCCCCTTGTCCCAGGTGGAATGGCTGGAGCTCCAGCAGCAACTATGAGACAACCTTGGGAACCACATCAAAATAGCAGAGCAAGAAGATAGAGTCTAGGTCTCCAACCCTGGACAATACCATTCCAGACTGAACTGACCACTTGTAGGCTTCCTAAACATTAAGGGGGGCAAAGGGGGATCTTCCATCTTGTTTAAGGTACTTAGACTTTAGACTTAAGATCCTAGAACTTAGCTCCTTTAGCTAAGCTCCTCTGACCCCCCAATGCCTTTCAAAATTATATCTTTCTTTTGTGTTTCTTTTGAGAATTTCTGTTATTGGCAGTGTAACCAATTTACACTTCTCTGTATGTATTGTCTACAATTCGGAGAGGAAGGAAGAGGACCCCTTCCCAGCAGGACCCGTCTTTGAGAGCATTACTATGTACCTACTTTCCTGGTTTGCTGCTGGCCTCCCCAACCCTCTTCTCCAGCCCTGGGAATTGATTGTTCGCTCAGCATAAACCATGCTCCAGGACCTCCTAGCCCAATGATGGCGAACCTTTTGAGCTCGGCGTGTCAGCATTTTGAAAAACCCTAACTTAACTCTGGTGCCGTGTCACATATAGAAATTTTCTGATATTTGCAACCATAGTAAAACAAAGATTTATAGTTTTGATATTTACTTTA